AATTTGAATAGCGGTAGAATTGGAAACTACTTTCTAGGATGAGAATTATAGGGAGCGCACCGTTTCTGGCTCAGGACTAGTATTATCGAGCAAAAATCAATAAAGAGGTCCGAAGTGATTGGAAAAAACTATACGGCGACCATAAAAATGCCTACCTCGATATAGGAATTATCTGATTCATAGAGTTCTTGAATGCTTGCCCTGACTCCAGTGGCCGCTTCCTGGACAGAAACATTCCTGAAAATCAATGTTATTCAAATTCAGCAAACTCATCAAAGTGGAGAGTTCTTTCGATGATAACATTAGTTTTCCCGATGCGGTCTGTGTAGTGCAGTCATCGGCGCATGGATTATCGAATGCCTCCAAAGGACCCTCTCTAGACCGCTCCTTTAGTGTGGATATGAACTAAGCCATTGGTTCCAAAGCTTTCCTGACGATCCAGTATAGGTAATATGGTAGTGCAAAATGCACGTTACCAGCTGGTTTTCACCTTAATGAAGACAAATGCAACACTGCGGCATGGTCTAGTGATTTCATGGAAGATCGAAGCACAAACGCTAAAAAAGGTCATGAAGGACTTTTTGGTCATCCCTACCAATCCCGAAAGAGAATAGCAATGCCTCAAGAGAGGAAGAACGAGAGATTACTGAATTCAACCAAATGAATCCAGTCGATGTCTTCAAAAGCAAGAAAAAAATAGTAGTTCAGGTGTCAGTGCAAAACGTGGCATCATCTAAAAACTCTGACCCTCATGCTAACTGTCAACTGAAACTAGTCCAATTAAAAGTCAAGAATGTAAGGGGTACGGTATACGGTAGAGAATTGAAGTCGCACTGAATTTTTACGTTTGCACTTTAGATTAAACTCTACCTGACGCGTAGTGAGAGCTCGAGTCCGAAGGCCGCCATTCGACCAGCAGGCGTCGAGGTTGTTGAGATACGATGATGAGAGATTGGTGTTGGCCCGCCCAAAGTCTTAGTCACTCGAGTATCGATTGAAACGCCTTTCAAGCGCTGAATTCATCAATTACAAACAATCAAGTAAAACGCCACTAACATTCATGTCTTCGAAAACAAAACAGGGAACAAAGAGGAACATGAAAAGTTTCCGTTTCTTTTTCAGAATACCACCTAATCGATAAAATTCCCTGGGGACATAGAGAGTTCGAAAAATTTTCGAAAAAAAGGACGAGCCAGAAAATGTTAGGAAAAGGTTCAATTCGGTCAGTTTGAAAGCTTGTAGTGCGCAAAGTTCACACTCCTAAGGAACCTTTGCAACTGAATTTCTATTACCAAAAGGACAATAAGTAAGTCAAGTTCATCCTTGAAGCCAAAATAAACAATGCAGCAGCGACGAAACACTAGTCAAAAGGCGACTCGGGGTTCTAAGCTCATCCTCTTCAAATAAATTGAATCGTCTCCCTATTCAGTGAATAGCAACACAAACTACTCAGTATTCATACGTTGATGAAAACAAAGAGCTTATAGGTGACTTCATAGGCTGTTCTGATTAAACAGCACTAATGATTCACGCAGTTTAAAAATAGAACCACTCGAATGAAAAGTTCAGTGGAACAAACAAAGCAAGTGCAAACAAAATTTAAAAATGCGCTCCATTAGCAAGTACGGTAGCCGGTCCTTTAACGTTTTGGGTCAGACTTTTCTGCTGAGCTTCAAAAGTCGTTTCAACATTCTTTTGGATTCGCGCTTTCTTCTGAAGGTTTCAAAGAATGAACCGAATAGTGAGCAGCCAGATATTGAAGGTATGCCCCTTATCACTATGTTTTTTTTACTGCTTTGCAAAATAATCTGACAAGTACAAGCTTGCATCATGTTTGTTAATTTTTGGATTGTGGACCGCAAACATCGATGGTGTGTTGGTTAATTTTTGCAAAATGAATTCCTCTCAGCCAACAAGAAGATGGCGATCCGCGTTGAGTGCCGCTCGCAACGTGTTTTTCCCCGAAACTGTGGTCACTACGTTGCCGAGTGGCTTTCGAGTAGCTACAGAAGACACCAAGATTCCTACAGCTACTGTGAGTGCTGGTTATTTTGTTAAAATTAAGTTTTGCAACTGATACTTAAGTTGAACATGACTTTTGCAATTTCTCCTGTTCATTGTTTCGTTCTTCCTGAAATGCTGTGACTACTGACTCTCTCTGAACCTCAGTTCTGTGGGACTCGATAGTTCGGATATTACTTCTCTTAATTCCAGTTTGAGAAACTAGTTTTGCAGATTCAGAGTCTGTGGTTAAACTCAAAGAGGGAGCGTGACATTTTGAAATAATCCTATTAGCCACTGTATCATACAGTACTTATGATTCAGATCGGTGTTTGGATTGATGCAGGTTCGAGGTACGAGAACGAGAAAAATAATGGGACGGCTCATTTTCTCGAGCATATGGCCTTCAAGGTGTGTTCCAAGTTTAGTATGGGAACATCATAGCTTGAATTGATTGAAATCCCTGCAAGACTTCTCTTCGTTTGCTTTTTTCTCGTCTTCGTTTATTTTTTTCACCATATGTATATACAGCAGCATATTTCCCATACACGTTGGGTCAAACTCTGCACTCATCCCTTAATCAAGTCATTGAAAACTTGCTGTCATATTCGATCTAGGGTGAGATTGAGCTCATGAAACATTCTACGCGAAAACCTTGTTTAGTTCTTAGTTGGTTTATCCAAGATGTGACGGCCGCTTTGCGCCGTTAGTGTACGAACAAAACAAGAGAACTTTTGTTCAACGATTTCTTTGTATTCATTTGAACAGAAATCGTTATGAGATCGAAACTCAAATTTCCAGGGAACTTCTCGCCGTACCAGAAACGCATTGGAACTAGAGGTGGAAAATATTGGTGCTCACCTGAATGCTTATACTTCTCGAGAACAAACGGTTTACTATGCTAAATGCTTCTCCACCGACCTCGAACAATGTGAGTTTTATTGATCTAGTTACGAGAGTTTGTGAATCCCTATGGTACCCTCAAATGTCCGAATCAATATTGTTATTTTAGCTGTCGACATTCTGTCCGACATATTACTGAATAGCAATCTAAACTCCCGAGATATTGAAGCGGAACGAAGCGTCATTTTGCGTGAAATGCAAGAGGTGGAGCAAAACTTTCAGGTTCGTCTTTCTAGTATTCTTTCTCAAAGGCAATACTTGAGCTGTGATGCTGTCCCATGTCTGTGCCATAGGCCTCTGGGTCAGGGATGAGGGTGTCGGTTGAACGCCATTTTCAATCAGCTTGATAGTAGCCATGATTAGTGTCACTGCAAGTGTATATGTATATGCTTATTCACTTGAAAAACTGATTCATGTAGCCTAGACGTTCTCTGTTATCCTTCAAATACCCATCTTTCAGGAAGTTGTTTTCGATCACCTCCATACGGGCGTGTTTGAAGGAAACCCGCTTTCAATGACTATCCTTGGCCCTGTAGAGAATATCAAGTAGGTGGTGCTGTGATATTTTTTGAGACCTGCATTGTTAGTTCCGTTTTATATTCACTTCTGATAACTTTATGCATTCTCTCGGAAAAGCCAGATGTCTTGAGCGAATGTGATAATGAAGCGGAATACATTTTATAGAAAAGGATTAGAAATGTATACGATGAGAGAGTTGTAAAATATACTTAGTTACCTCATCAAAAGTTTTTTTTTCGATAGTGATATCGTTAGTTTAACCTTGTTTGGTTTATTTGAGATTTAGGTTAAGGATAAACAATAGAGTGCAAATTTCGCCTACAAATTCCTTACTGACAAGTTTCTCTTCAGTTCGATCCAAAGGAATGATCTCTTAGAGTATATTCAAACTCACTATCGCTCTGGCCGCATGGTTTTGAGCGCTGCTGGTGGAGTACGCCATGAAGAGGTAGCTAAGTCAGCAGATATTTTAATATACTTTTTGCTGAAATATTTCAATTTCAATTTGGTTCAAGGTTGTGCGGCTGGCTGAAAAGTATTTTGGTGGCCTTAAACATGGAGATGCTTCTGCAAACTTCCTTCCAGCAGCATACAAATCATGTCAGGTAGCACCGATTCCTTTTATATTTAGTGCATATCCAGCCCTCTCTTCTTTATAATGCTTTCTTCTTTCAGATACATTTACCAGTCGATGGTATGGATTCTATTTACGGTGCAATAGTGGTTGAAGGTGTTTCATGGACTCACGAGGATAACTTAGCGTTGATGGTGGCAAATACTGTAAGATTTCTTTTCACTGTCATTGAGAAAGAACCCATCCTACAAATGAGCGTTGACAGCTCATTGGCGAATGGGATAGGAGCCGCGGATTCGGTGTGAATGCTCCGTCCCGTCTGGCCGTCCGCCTTGGTCGCAACGCTGGTGTTCAATCATTTCAAGCTTTCAACACGTGCTATAAGGTCAGTTAAAAATGGTGCTATTATCCCATCGTTGAGGAAGTATCAAATTCAATCTAAGGGTAGCTCTGATTACGCCTACTGCTGAGAGAATGCTTTTATTTCCCATCCCTCTCGACCGCTACTACTTATGAACCGGTGTAGATGAGCGTTCTGGTCGACCAAGAGTGCAACTGGGAAGCCTGCATAGTTTTAATATCCTTTTTGTAGCAGCTTTGTGCACTTGTTGTTTTTGTTGTTAGGCCTCTTCAGCTTCATAGTTTCGTATGAAAGGAGGTTTCAGTTTGTAGTTGTTGTTTGTTTGTTCAAATGGCTACCTCGTGGCGACTGTAATTGGGAGCATGATACTTTTTATCATGGTTCTATGACAAAAGTCGCAAAATCATTGCGAAGCGATCAAATATGCAGCCGGGTAGATCTTTCAATCGCACGTATCCACACGTGTGGTTGTCTTAGGTGCCCGGACAAATAGCCTCAGCTTGTGAGATCAGGGATCGTTATCCTCCTTTTGTAGTCAGTTTAATTTTTTATAGGATACAGGTCTTATTGGGGTCTACTTCGTGGCAGAAGAGTCCGCTTCTGAGGCGCTAGTTGATGCTGTCGTGGACGAGTGGCGCTGGTTAGCCAATGGTCAGTGGTTTTAATGACGTAAACTGAAATAATTCGATTTTTAAATTTATTCATCGGCTAGGAAATGGAATTTGTTTCCTTCTCATTCGATAATTTCAATAATCTGGAATGAATTCGTGATATCAAGAAGTGAATGCTGAGCAAGTGGAATGCGGAAAACGAACCCTCTTGACAAATCTTCTATTAATGTTGGATGGCTCCACACCAATATGCGAGGACATAGGTCGCCAGCTGCTTTGCTATGGGCGACGAATTCCTGTACCTGAGCTAGAGCTACGAATTCAGGTATCTGAAGTTTTGTTCATGAAGGTTCAGTACGATGTGTGACTAAGACAAGCAATTTCCGAGTAGGACTCAAATTGAGTAAGTTCAGGGATGGTCTGAGTGACGGTGACGCCTCTATGTTTCCAAGATTCTGTAATGTAACGTAGAGGGTGGCATTCGTTTTTTTTGTCCAGCCACAGGCGTTCTTGAGTCTTCATGGACCAAGGATTTCCCTCGGCGAAACTCAACTGTTGCTCGTTAGTCCGGTACTCATATGTGCAGACTGCGGATCGCTCTTATCAGAGGCGCTTAAATTTTTTACAAATGGGAGTAATGAGTTTGTACAACATACGGCCTTTTACACGTGCGCTGCACCCACTTCCTCGCAGCAAGGAAAAATTATTCATTTGAATTAGGAAAAATAGATTCGTTTTGCTGAAAAATTTACTCCTCCATGATTATGTTTGTTTTTGAATTGTGCCGCATTTTCTCATGTAGAACTACTGAGCAGTTATGCAGCATGGCTCTCCAGGTACATACCGTCGATCTATAGACGACTCTTGAAAAATGGCGTTTAGCTTTTAGCTCTAGCATTTAGCACATTGGTTCGTAGCTCTAGTTTTTGGCAGGGATGCAACCGCACTGCCTTTTCCTTTTTCCTAATTTTGTCGGACTGATTGGCTGCTTTCATAGTCCACGATTTAGCGAGCGCTCCACAGGTCCGCGACTGGTCGCGCGATAGTGAGGAGGCGGCGCTAGCCATGGGCGCCGCCGAGCGGTCGGTCGCGCGATCGGTATCGCGCTTACCCAAATCGTGGACTATGAAAGCCGCTACTAGGCCTGCTACGCTTGTTACATTATTTGAGCCAATGTGCCAATGTGCTTGGATGTTTTAAACACAATAATAATGTGCCTAGTACGAATTATTAATGAGTAGCAGATGTGAGAGATAGAATTTCTTTGTCATCGCGTCTGTTATCTCAAGGGCTTTCCTTGATGGCATAATCTATGGCTTTTCTCTCGTAGGCATCCGCCGTTACACAATCACGACATGCACACGTTTTCGACACACCCGAAAATATCACGCTGTCATCACAGCGGATGGCTTGAAATCAACGATAGGACGAGAATTATGTGCCACATTATTACACTATCAAACACTGTCTAAAGCCGCATGTGTGAAACGAGAATTGGTTTTGCTTGAGGTCTTAGAGGTCTTGCTTTCTCAGCTCTGGGTGGGAGGCTCTACACCTGATTCTAGGTTGATTTTTTTCCTACAATTAGGAAGCTCATTTTTCTAGTTTGTCGTTTATGATGTAAGGAAATACCCAGGAATTTTATGAGCAATAAGTAATACCATCTGTCGGAGATGAGGTTAATGGGCTATTAACAAGCACATTAAGATTCCCAAAAAATACATCGTTGAGTAGTTCACACCTCGTAATCACTGACAGTGAACCAGTTCATAATAATTCGAAGGGTAGCAAAAAGGGGTTCTGCGAAATTATGACGACAGAAGTGGCATAGAAAGGGTAATCAGACGACTGTCAGTGGCGTTCAGTTGCGCAGAGCTGGCTGCAGTAAGCCAAAAATTGCCTCCCGCTATCGGATGGATCACGACTATTATCTGGTATTTTCAACAAGTGTGCTCCCTTGGGAATGTAGCAGTCTCAACAAGGCTATTGTAATCCGGCCACTTCAGGGTGTGTACGTTGGTAAGCCAGTCTTGAAGCCCTTATTTCGCCTTGCCTGGACCGCTTTTGTCCCGACAGTGCCCCATGTGCTATCTTAGGGGCCATAGGTTCATCCTAAGGAGATATCTTGGACTGGACCTTTAACTAAATTTATTCCTCAGGACCAACTTCATGGAAGCTACTCATCAGTGTGTATATTTAGGCAATAGACGTTGAGACGGTACGAAATGCGTGCAGAAAGACGTTTATAGAGGGCCAAGTGGCGACAACAGTAATAGGTAAGATTTTGTGTATCGAATCCTGTAAACTTCCGGCCTTATCACGCATTTTTAATGCGGCACTATTTGTTCACAGAATTGTAAATATTATTTGTGAGGCCATTACAATACAAATGTCTTAATAACAGACTTGAAAGTCAACTTTAAATTTTAAATTCACTGAATTTGCGCAGAGTATAATTTTCGTTACCATAGGTGATATAGAATATGTGGCGCTAATTTGGCTTTCGTGCTAAACTAGCGAACCATGGCGGAGGTTTTCAAGTCATTCAGTTGCTACCGCATGCAGGGTCTTTGAGCGAATGCCAAATTCAAATTTCATGCTTCCACGTCCACTGTCGCCGGAATGGACCACTAAGAAAGGCGACAGCGGATTAGCATTTCTTACTTGGTAGAATTAAAATTTTACTAATTTTTACCAGCCAACCCTACACCTTGTCCGAATGCGCAATTGTGGGTCGGATATTTTGAATGGCAAGTAAATAGGTGGTACATTCTGGTAGGGGCTGATGTAAGCTGTGAAAGTTCATTTTTTGTATGGTAGACCCCATAGAACGAGTGACAGGATATAGTGATATCGTTGTAATCTTATTTTTTGAAATTAGGTGGGTGTAATTTTTATATTTTTTGGACCAACAACTGGTCTGGAAGATGTTGCTGCTCATTTGGAGCGCTCCCGCGTCTCTTGGTTAAACGAGCATAGATAGTCCTCGAATCGAAAGGGGTGGGACTGCTTCGGAGGGTTACTTCCGGCACGCCAATCCGGATAAGTCGTTACAGAACTACTTGGCTGACGAGAACAACGTTTCCCATGCCTATCAGTAACATTTTCTGTGGGAAAGAAGTAATAAACTTTTTTATGTTATTGAACATCATGGGATCTGCCAGTTGAGGTCTCTAGATAACAGCTGAACAGAACAGTAATCTATCTTCATTAATAAACCTTGAGCGAGGCATGGGATAGGTATTGATTTAGAGTCGTACCGTAGTTTCATTCGATCCGTTGCAATGGAGAATTCAATCAGCAGTATTTTACTGCCCTCCAATGCTAGTTTGACGTGTTTTCCTCCAGGATTTGGGTAAAGAAGGTTCAAGATGAAAACCAATTATTGTCTGACCCATTTGTCGATAGTGCATCGTTCTGCAGGAGGATTGGTGGGGCAATCTAGAGCAACGTCTGCTAGAGAGAGTTACCAGTGGTACCGGTCATGGACTGAGTTTTCGAAGAGTGCAGACGCGTGGTCCTAACGATTCAGGGCTCAACACCCTCCATAGAAGGCTCTAAGGCAACAGTGAAGAAGTGCTCATGTGCCTATTTAGCTTGATGTTTTGATAACTGCTGTTATTCTGCCGCAGTATGCGATTCGAAACCCTCACAAGGTTGGCAAGCTATGGGCAAAGCTTCAGCCTCGAGCGGGTTTGAGCCCCGTTTGAGGACGAAGTTTTGTCCATATCGAGTCCTGTGTGAGGTCGGTGTTTTGTACATAACTGGCAACCTTGTAAGCCTGCTTATTTTCTTTATTAAGGCTTTTCACTTCAATTATGATCTCTGTTTAGGTTGTACCAAGCGATTCCCATCGAATACAGTGATCGAACAGAAGTTGCATCGATGACGCTGAGCTGATCTAAGCTCTTCCTGAAGGTATGTTTCGTTTGGAGGCTACTGTAGAGCGATCACGCCCGGCAACGGAAAGTGACTAGGTGTTGAGTTGAGTAGGTACTGAGTCGATGAACTACGAAGGAAGACTAGGAGGGGACGCCGAGGGGATAGGGAGGAGGGATGAGGCGTGTTGGCTAGTGATGTGTCATGTGTTTCAGACTGGCGATCGTTACGTTTTGTTGGTTTGCCTATCTCCGATATCCGTCTGGAAATGTTATTCTCGTTCGCATTTAATGGTGACGTAAAAGTGACCGCAGTCGTTTTGAGTGGCCACCACTTGGCCTCAGGCAGGGTGCTCTGGAAGGTGGCCAGATGGGTGAAGAAATTTGCCCATCTCTAATGATCACCTGGAACTCTTGACAGTAGGGCTCCTGAGGTCAAGTACGGCCCAGTGGAAATCGATTCTGTACAGCGTATCTACTTGTCTCTAGTGATTTTTTCGGAGCCTTCGTTTAGAATTATCAGTTGTTATCATCCAGTACCCTCGGTCTTTTGCCTACTTATTTTAGTATTATGGTGATGTCCTTTCGGGCTTTATTTTTCTTTCTTATTCAGCTTGTTCTCTGTTTACTTCGTCTTTGTAGCTCTTTTCCCAGTTTTCTTGTATTTTTCGTTCTTTTTTGTTATTAATGCCTGTTCATTCTTTCTTGGAAATCTGATAGTTTCGCTTTTCATTCGTCGTTGAAGTCCTATGATTGAAGAACAACAAGTGTCCTGATATATTTTTCACAAAACTTTGTTTGTTACATATTTGGGTCCCACAAACTTAGAAACTAGCTTTTTTTGTTTTCTTGAGTGATTTTCGAATATCACTGAAGCCAGTAGTGAAGATGAAAGTTTTTTTTTGACTGGATGAATTTAATTGAGTAGGAGATTTTGGTATGAACGACCATATAGCGGAGCTAAATTAGGGTCGGTATCAGGTTGAACTGTTTCTAGGGCCTCATCACCTAGGTGTCATTTTTTTGGCGCAACCAGAACTCAGTCCCTTCTTTGAAAAAAATCGAGTGAATACAAACAAACAAGTGGCAGTTATTTCCAAAAATTGGAGAAATTGAAGCCTCCAGGGCTGCCAGTTCGTTTGGAATGCGCCATGAATCTGGTCTCTGAAAATAACTGGAATTCCCATGGAAGTGCAATCGCCCTGGGTTTTGGGTTTTGGTCTCCACGATGATTCGCCAGGACAAAACACCTTATATATTGGTGTTTAATTGGGCCAGTACCGATTAAGTTAGGTCAGTACTCAAGGCTCAAATAATCTGGGCAAAATTCGATCTCCGGTCAGTTATCCATGGTGGTTACCCCTATAGCCACTGCGACAAATGCGTAATTTATAGTCGATAAATCAGGTAATTAACACCATGCTTCTTCTTAGATCGTCAGGGTTAATGGGATGACAATTTATGAGCAGAAAAAGCAGTTTCGGGTGGA